CTTTGTATCTCCGTCAATTCCGAAGCATACTGTTCTCACAATAAGTTTCTCCTAAATGATTGCTGAAGTAATAACTTTCCTGATCAGTTCATGTGCCTGTGGTATATCAAATATGCTAGAATAAGAGCTTAGACTCATTTTTCTGTATTGATCCCTTTGAGCTTTGAGATCTGTCAAATTAAAACCATATTTGTATATTATTTGGGATTTTTTTTCCTAGCTTACAAAGAGATTTTTTCCAACAACAACCACACAAACATATCGATTTTGATCTACTCTAGTTTCCATCCCCATTTGGATGACCTCGACAAAATAATCCAGGCAGGTTTCCATGATGCCACAGTACTAGAGAGAGATTCCAGGGCACATGGGTTACTGCATCATTCCACTTTACCCCAGAAGAGTCCCCAAACTGCAGGTCATTCCATTGCATGGCCTTGGGAAAATATGCCAACTGTACTCTGGGCAATCCAGCCCTGTCTGTGGCAGGTCACTATACTAGTTAGGATACTCTAGGAAATGTGGTATCATGGAATTTATCAGGATATGAATACATTTTTTTCCAAAAATTCAGTTTAGAGAACTTACCATTCCACTTAGTTTGATATTTCAAGAAATTCTTATTGCCTACCCATCCACCCCCAACACCCGGTATGCCATTTTGCATGCAAAAGTGGCAGTGCTGTAAGTGGATTATGTGCTGGCATTGGAGCCAACAAATCCTGGGCTTGAATCTTGCCACTGATACCAGCTATTTGACCCTGAATAAGTCACTTAATCTTTCTAAGCATTAGTTTGCCTCATCTATAAAATGGGAATCATTATACCTCTAGTACATGGGGTATTTAACTTTGGATCCATAGAGCATTGCTCCATGGATAGATTTCTGAGAGTCTGCGAACTTGGATGGAGGAAAAAATACATCTTTATTTTTTATTAACTTCTAATTTAAATTTAACATTTCTTTTAACCACGATTTTTTAAAAATCTAATAAGGGGACTATAGGTTTCACTGGATTATGAAAGAAGTTCAGGACACAAAAAAGTTTAAGACATCCTGCTATCATAGAGGTTCTTGTGAGGCTTAATTGAGATGAGATGATGTATACAAAGCAATATCAGTAATAAGCTTATAATAAGTTCCAAGTGCCTAGCATCCAAAATCATAAAGAAAACATCATCCAAGCTACAAGAACACATAGATAGTAAAACGACACATGACAGGAGACTTCAACATCTCTTTTGCCATTTCAGATAAATCTATCAGAAAGATAATCAAAAGGGAAATAAGGAACTGAACAATTTCCCGGAGAAATTAGAGTTAAAACACTTATTTCATCTTCTGAATGGGACAGCAAAAGAATTTATATTTCTTAGTAGCACATATAACTTTTACAAAAGTTGACAATGCACCAGGGCACAGAGATATTGCAAACAAATGTAAAAAGGCAGAATACATGAATGTTTTACAGATTATAACGCAATAAAAATCACAACTGGTTCAGGGGCCAGAAATGAAAGATCCAGACCAAATGGAAATTTAACAGCAGAATCCTAAATAGCAATTAAGTTAAATAAAAAAATCATTGAAACAATAGCTATAAAAAAGAAAATGATAATAATGAAGGAACAAAGCAAAATTTCTGAGAAGCAATGAAAGCAGTCCTCGTGGGAAAAATCAAATTCCTTAGAAACATGGATTAACCAAATAGAAAAAAAAAGTGAAGATTAATGAATTGAGTGTGTATTTAAAACTTCAGAAAGCCAACAAATAAACAAATCTAAAATGTGTATAAAGTAGTAGATATTAAAAATTAGAGGGGAAATAGATAATATTAGAAATAAAAAATAGAAATGATGAATAAAACTAAAAGATGTTTTTTGAAAAGATTAATAAAATTGATAAATCCTCATATAATCTGATTTTTAAAAAGAAGAGAAAATAAAATCAATAAAATGTCAAATGAACAAGGCAAAATCACAGTAAAACCAGAAGAAATAAAATGAATAATCAGAATACATTATGCAGTTATATGCTAACAAAACTGAGAACACAAAAGAAACAGCAACATACCTTCAAAATATAAAATATCTAAATTCTCTAAAGACTAGATGGAGAGATTAAATAACCCAATCTCAGAAAATGAAATAAATCTAGTTGTAAAGGAACTACCAAAAGAAAAAAAAACACTCCTGGTCCTGATGGACTCACAGGATAATTCTTTAAGCATCCTGCCAGAATCCTTTTATGAGAAAAATATAGTCCTAATAACTAAACCAGGGAAAGATAAAACAGAGAAAATTACCGTATCATTAATGAACATTGATTCTAATATTTTAAACAAAATCCTGTCATACAGACTACAGTTATTTATTCAAGAAATCATTCATAAAAACTAAATGGAACTTATTCCAGGGATGCCACAATGGTTCATAATTAGGAAAACAATCAATATAATTATATAAAAAAACCCAAACATCGAAAAATACATGATAACTTCAAAAAATGCAGAAAAAGCCTTTGAAAAAACACAGTACACCTTTGCGTTAAAAACCTTAAAAGTATAGGCAGAGAGGGACCTTTTTTAATATCCTAAGAAGCATCTGTCTAAAGCCAAAAGCAAACATCATATGAAATGGGGACATGCTAGAAACTTTTCCACTAAATACAGGAGTGAAGCAAGGATGCCTACTCTTCCATTATTATTTGAGACAGTTCTCAAAATGCTAGCAACAACAGGAAGACAAGAAGAAGAAATTAAAGATATAAAGATAGCTAAAAAGCTAAAACTATACCTACTTGCTGCTGATATGATGGCTTACTTGGAAAATCCTAGGGAATCAGCAGAAACGGATTGAGCCAATTAGTAGTTTCAGCAAAGTTGCTGGCTACAAAATAAATCCTCAAAAAACCAACAGCATTTCTATATAATAATCACAAAACACAAGAAACATCATCAAAAGTGAAATCTCATTCCAAATAACTACAAAATGCATAAGATATTTGGAGATTGACCTACCAAAAAAAAAACCCAAAAAAAACCCAAAACCCTGTATATATTCAATTAGAAAGTGCCCCTTAAAGAAATAAAGAATAACTTAAATAGCTGGAGTAATACTCAGTGTTCGTGGCTAAGCCATGTCAACATAATAATTACTACCAAAATTAATTTATAATTTTAAGGCTATAACAATCAAATTAGCAAGGGCATACATTATACAGGGCAGCTAGGTGGTGCAGTGGATAGAACACCAGGCCCTAAATCAGGAAGACCTGAGTTCAAATGCAACCTCAGACACTTATTACCTCTGTGAGCCTGGACAAGTCACTTAACCCTGTTTGCCTCAGTTTCTCTCATCTGTAAAACGAGCTGGAGATTGAAATGGCAAACCACTATAGAATCTTTGCCAAGAAAACCCAAAATGGGATCACAAAGAGTCAGACATGACTGAAAAATACCTAAGCAACAACAAAAAACACTATGTAGAACTTAATAAAATAATACCAAATTCATTTGGAAAAACAAAAGATCAAGAACATTAAGGGAAATGATGCAAAGAGGGAATAGCACTCCCAAACCTCAAGCTATAGTATAGTACAGTATAGTCACTGAATGTTAATAATGGAAACTGCAAGAATATGTTAGTGCATTCACATTATGCACTTTGGCGTTGCGTTAATAAGAATTCACTACTAAGGGCCACCAAATATCAAAGTTATACACTTCACATAATTAGGGACTTCAAAGGATAACGATACCAGAAACAAAAATCCGTAGACTTTTGGTTAAAGGTTAAGAAGGCAATTACATAAACATCTATTTATATATTCTTTAACCTCTCATCAAATTTCAAGACATCATTAACCAGACAAGTATTTGGACTGGAAATTTAGCAATAGGTTGGGACATTCTGACAGCCTATGCATGTCTGTATTTTAATGTTTTCCATAGTGCAAATGGTAACTATGCATGAGCAAAGTCTACAGACGCATACTTTTGCTCAGGTTATTAGAAAAAGATTATATTTCTTGTCTGGCAGCTACGTAAATATATATACATATTCATATATGTATGTATATAGTAATTCTGTTGTGTTCAACCTAGTGATAACAGCTCATCTTCCCAGTTACCCAAGCTCACAACCTCAGTGTCATCCTTGAATTCTCACTCTTATACCACATGTCTAATCCATTGCCAAATCATGTTGCATCTCTCATATATATCCCTTTCTCTGCATGAAAACAGCCACTTGAGTGAACCCTCATTACCTTTTGCCTGGATAAGCCAATGCCTTCTACTTGTTCTGCCTTCCTCAAGCCTCTCTACACTCTGATTCATTCTCCATGCAGCTGCCAAAGTGATTTTTCTAAAGCGTAAGTCTGACCATATCATCTTCCCTCAGTGAGCTCCAGTGTTTCCTCATTACCTCCGGGATCTATTACAAAGCCTTCATTTGGGCTTTTAAAATCCTTCACAACCTAATTCCTTCCTACCTTTAAAGTTTTCTTATACCTTACTCCCCTCCACATCCTCCACAATCAGCTAAGCTTGTTTTCTTGCTCTTCCTTACATGTAACATTACAATTCCCATTTGAGTGTCTTTGCATTGGCCATTTGTCATGCTTGGAATCTTCTGTTCTTTTACTTCTGCCTCTTAGTTTTCCTAGCTTCGTTCAGGACTCAGCTCAAAGTCCACCTTTTGCAGGAAGCCTTTCCTGTTCCCCCTGGCAGCTCATGATGCCCCTTCCATCTATTCTGTTTGCATCTTGTATGGACCTAGTTAATTACATGTCATCTCCTCCATTAAGAATGTCAACTTCTTGAGTACTAGGACCATTGTTGTCTTTCTTTATATCTATTTTCCTTTTTTTTTTTGTTTTGTATTGGGGATGGGTTTTTGTGTGTTTAAAGACAATTATTGCCCTTCTTGACTAAGATTTTAGGCAATGTTTTTGTCATAGGCAAACACTTCTATGGAAAGGAAAAGGTGCTTCTTGCCTGCACAGCCCAGAGGTAGTCCAGACGTAACTTCAAGTCCACCTGCCTGGCATGAAGGGCCAGAGCACAGGAAAACAGCAAAATAGCCAATATGGGTTCATATCCACGGAGGTAAAAGGTGCCACCCCTTATGAGAAAAAAACAAGCTCAAATTAGTGATCGGTTCCTGAGGTCAACAATTTAGCTTAATCTAAAAGAAACTCTTTTGAGTAATATCATAAATATACTTACTCTGGAGATAGCTATTCCTACAGATTATAGATAGAATCTATTCTCCTTAATTCAAAGATTCTATTGTTTTTAACATCATTCAATGTTCTGTTGGTTTAACAGTTTTATCCATATTGAGTTTTAGGCCATTTTGTGCTTAAAAGGACATACTCTGGTTAATTTTCTTTGACGTGTAAAAATCTGGTCAGTCAGAATACATTTGTTAAGCACCTGCTATGTGCCAGTCACTGCTTAAGAGCACTGATTTGTTCTTTTAGAATTTAGAATATATTGGTGACAGTGGAAGAGGGCCACCACACTGATTGATTGCAACTCAAAAATTGTTTTTGTTGTTTTAAAAATGTAGGTCTATTTTGGAAAATGATGTTTATGGTAAAGTAGAAATATAAAAGACATTAAATATGTTAATTTTAATAAAGAAACCTCAATCCTTCAAAATACATTTTCTTCCTTAGCAGTATGTCCCAGTTCACTTTAAAATCATTCAATGTACTGAAAAAAGACTCGTTATTTTTTCCTGAAATATACTTTTCTAAGTATAACACCAGAGTATCCATAAAGCCATTGACTTTTTTTCTATTTTAATTTTTTTCACTAAACAAAAATATATTTTCTCACCCTCTTACTTCCTTCCCATCTCACTGTTGAGGAGGAAAGAGAACAAGAAAAACAAACAAAAAAAATCTTGTAACAAATATGCATAGTCAAGTAAAACAAATTCATGCATTGATCATATCCAAAAAATAAATTTATCATTTTTCACCCTAAGTCCATCACTTCTCTGAAAGAGATGGAAAATTTGTTTCATCCTCGGTGCACTGGAATCCTTGATACTACATTGATCAGAATTTTTAACTAGAAGACTTAGAAACTCTGATCAATTCAATGACTAACCTCAATTCCAGAGGACTTGTGATGAAGCATAAAACCAACTTCCAGATGGAAAGGTGATGGACCCAGAGTGCCTATTGAGCCATATTTATTTTTTTGGAGGGGGAAGGGGGAGAAATTTTGATAATATGGGAATTTGTTTTGCTTGACTCTACATGTCTGTAATTTCTTTGCTTTTCTTGCTTTCTCAGTGTGCAGGGGTGGGGAAGTGGGAGAGAGGAAATTCAGAGCTGAAAATTTTTTTTAAATCTATTGTCTTAAGAGTTAGAACTATACTAGAATTATTGACAGATGGCAGATACTCTCCAAAGTGACCCATTAGACACCCTCCCCAAGCAATATTCCAGCAAGTTCACTTACCCCACTGCTTTTCTGTACCCACTGAGCTCCAAAACAAGTATATACAAGACTGTAACCAAAAAGAGAAGGATCATTTTTGGCAATGAAGAGACACGGAGAAATATTGCCAGTGTCAAAGTCCCCACAATGCAGGAAAGGAATGCGTGATGGGCTGTGTCACAGGGCAGGACATTCCTTGTCTTATTCATTCCTCCAGAAGAAATAATCACTAAGGATCTGCTGGAATTAGTGTTCCATGACCAAGGCATGCAGCCCACCTGAGAGAGTAGGAAGAAAGGGGTGTAGAAAAGAAAACCTTGTAAAGTAATAATCCATTTTGAACACACACTATCAAACACAGCCCCAGTATCTTATCTGTTAAAATATTTTTAGTTTAGAATAGGCATCTAGCTGTAACTGATCATTTACAAAGCTCACTCTTAATATGGTTATAATGAGTTTTGCATATATTATCTCATTTGATTCTTAAAACAATGCTGTAAGCTTGTATATCATCCATATTTTACAGATGAGACAGGAAAATAATAATAACTCGTATTTATCTAGTGCTTGAAGATTTACAAAGGACTTTTCTTTCAACAACCAGGTGAGGCAATAGGGCAAATATCATTATTCTCATGATCTGATCCTGATCTCACAAATCAGGAAAATGAGGCTCAGGTAGATTGATTTTCTCAATGTTTCATAGTTAGCAAATTTTTCTTAGAGTATATACCTCCCTATTGTCCCCACCGCCAACACATACCCCAACATACATATAGAAATACACATTATATCATGTTGCCAGTCTCCTGCTTCTCTGAAACAAGGATTGGTACCATATACACTTTCCTCTCAGTGAAATCTATCCTACTTCTGGGACATAATTATAGCATAACATTCTATCAGCTAACTTCCTTTCCTTTCTACACGAAAGCCATGGTGGCAATTAGCTCTCATTCCCCATCTTTCCTCCAGAGGCTAAATAGGGCAGAATCTACTGCTTCTGTCTTACCTTGTTTATTGTAAAATTCACAGAGGAAATATTTGAGAAGATTCACTACAAACCAAGATTCATTTTCTTTTGTTTCTTTATAAGGGGTTATTGGGAAAAATGAAAAAGGATCAAATTGGTTAGACTCTGCTATGCTAAATCATGAGGTAGGAATTTACAAAGTTGGACAAAGTTGAATAATCTTGACTATTATGTGTGTCTATGTGCATGTATGTGTATGTATAGATGTATATATATATATATATGCATGTATGTGTATGTATAGATGCATATATATATATATATATATATATATATATATATATATATATATATATATATATATATATATATATATATATATATATACACACACACACACACACACATACAGATCTTTGAATGAAATAACTAAGTCCAGGTTATTTGAACATATTTTTAAGGCATAATTTCAATGAAATTCTAAGATATCTTCACTCCATCCACAAAACAAGGATTCAAAGACAGTTATTTAGATAACACATCAAATACTCAATGCTTGATAAATTGAATTTAGTTTACTCAGATATTTCATCTCCCCAACATAGTGCTTTCCCCTCTCAGATTGCTTTCCATCTACTCTGTATATGTCTTGTGTGTATCTATCTTTTTACAGCTATTTCTTCCCTACTAGAATATAAGTTCCTTGAGGACTGCGAATAGCTTTTGCCTTTCTTTGTATAACCAATGCTTAGCATAGTACCTGAACCATAAGAACACTTAATAAATGCATGTTGCCTGGCCAACACTTTAACTGTAATCTTGGGGATGATTAATTTCCCCAACTCTTCTATTAAATAATTTTGTCTCAGCACCACTCCTTATATGACCATTGGCTGGAATATAAATTAATTATATAATTTTAAAAGGAAAGGGCTAACACTATTATCATTTGAGTGGAAGATCCCAGAAACTAATGGAGTCTTAAGAATGGATATTTAGGGGGCAGCTAGGTGGTGCAATTGATAGAGCACTAGCCCTAGAGTCAGGAGGACCTGAGTTCAAACCTGGCCTCAGACACATAACACTTAAGTGACCCTGGGCAAGTCACTTAACCCCAATTGCCTCACAAAAAAAAAGAAAAAAAGAATGGATATTTAGCAGAAAAAATTCCATTACTATAATAAAGTTTTTCTCTTTTCTCATTTTTACCCCAATTCTATCTTTAGATATGTGTATGTTATATATGTATATATGTATGTGTGTATAATATTATACATATATAGTGTATAATATTACATGCTACTATATATGTATATGTGTATAATATACATATATGTGTGTATAATATTATACATTACTCTTCTCTATGACTGGGGCCTTAACCAGGAATTCTGGGACCTCGACACAAATTCAGTTTGAGGAAAATGTAGTACACAGAGGATTTTCCCCCCTAGTCAAGTGCTGTTATATCCAGAGAGAGGATTGCCAGGGCTCCTGAATATTGTGGCCCCAGCCCCTGAAACATGGCCAACCCCACAGGAAGATACTTGTTTAGGGTACAGTTGTGTGGGGATGGTTCTTTCCAGAAGAGGGGTAGAAATCTGAGAGACACCTTGACAGCAAATGACCCTGAGGCATGGGGTGCGAGACCTCCATGGGGAAGAAGTAAATTTTCCAAGTCAACATTAGAGCCCCGTGGTGAATGCTGGTCACCTCACCCTCGTTACTGTTCCACCCATAACCCTGCTGTCCCATGGGCCAACAAGGATGGAAATAATGTCACTGAGGCCGTGCCAATATAATGCAAAAATAATGGATTGAAAAAATTTAAATGTAATTAGTTAACTGGTTCTTTTGCCTTCAAAAAGCCAAAAAAAAAAATTCATATTATGGCAATGTAATATAGTTGAAATAACATTGGAAATGGATTGATTAAGGATCTGAGTTTGAATCCTGGCTTAGACATTTACTTCCTATGTGACCCCTGGGGAGTCACTTAATCACTCTGAAACTCCTCCTTATATGTACTACCTATTTACCTCATAGGGTCATTGTAAGGAAATACTTTGGAGACCTTGAGGTACTATATGAATGCCAATTATTATTCCTTGCAGATTTTTTTCACTTAATTCACTTTTTTTGGACTTCTTGCAGATAGTTTTTATGCCTACTCCATTGATACTCTTTGAGCATGTAAAAGTCTAAATCAATTTTTTAAAATATGACTGACATGTTCCCAACCTCTATATTTCTTTGCTGTCAAGTTAATCCAATTTTAGAACAAGAAAAATGGGATATGCATAAAGAATGAACTTCAATAATGCTGGTGATAGGGGACCAAGTATGATACCTACCATACAGGTTTTCTATATTATAATAAGTCCTACAGACTTGATATGCACACCCACATATGCTTAGGGACAGGGTCTGACCCACAGCAAAACTGAAACTATGCCGTTAAAAAACACTTTGAATTAGGGATTAATATTTTATTAAAGCTTTAGCATAAAATGTAATTTCCAGACATCTGCCAGTGAAAGAATCTCAGGTTTTAATTTGCTTTTATTTCTATTATTTACTTACATGGAGGAACTCAAGCTATTTGATGGGATTTAAGCAAATTGAAGGTTGTTGAGAGGCAGGTGACAACAAAGAAAATGAACAAAGCATTTTAAAGTTGCAGAATCTGTGGAATGGAAATATGCCTCACTTACAGACACGGAGAGAACAAAGTGAATTTGAAAAAAAACACTATGACTTTTACCTAACCTTGTAAGTTTTAGTGATTTTCATTATTCTGGAACTCTACAAAGAATCCAGAGTCTGAAGTTGACTCTAGGTAGATTTCAGTATTTGTGCCTGACATGCAGCAGTATGAGCCCATCTGTAATACTGCTAACAAAATTCGTGGCCTTGAATAACAAAAACAAAAACAAAAGCCAGTATTTATACAGCACCTACTAAGTGTCAGTCTTTGTGCTAAGTGCTTTACAAACATTATCTTATTTGATCCTCACAATAACCCTGGGAGGAAGGTGTATTATTATCTCTAATTTACAGTTGAGGAAATGAAAACATGGAGAGGTTAAATGACTTGCATAGTGCAACACAGCTAGTAAGTGTCTGAGGTCACATTTGAATTTAAGTCTTTCTGATCGTGTAGTTTATATCACTGAAGAGGAGTAGTGCTATTTTGACAGAATTGTGAGGATGTTTCAATGGCAAAATGTTAATTGCATGCAGACTCTTGAGCTAAAAGAGACCATCAAGATTCCTTACTTCCTCATTCTACAGAGGAGGAAACTGAGACTCAAAGACATTGGATGATTTGCCCATGGTCATAAAACTAGTTAGTGGCAGAGCCAGGATTAGGATCCAACTTCTGACTGTACAGTGCCCCCCCCCTTTTTTTTGGTGTGTAGCAGCTGCTTCTAATTATCAAAATTTGGGCATGCACATCCTTTGGAATTCTTTAGGAAGAATTAAAATTGTGTCCTAAGAAGTGATGCCTAGAAGCCAGCGAACATACAACTACATCATCTAATGCTACAAAGACGTGGCTCCTTCCACCACAGTTAGGTGGTACAGTGGATAGGACCTTGACCTTGGTGTCAGGAAGAGCTGAATTCAAAATCACTAGTTGTTTGATCTTGGGAAATTCATTAACCTCTGCTTGCTTCAGTTTCCTCAACTGTGAAATGGGGATTATAATATCACTTACCTCCCAGCTCAAATGAGATAATATGCATAAAGAGCTTAGTACAGTATCTGATATACCATAGACACTTAACAAATACTTATTCTCTTCCTCTTTTCCCCTTCCCTGCATGCATATGCAGCTTTGATTGGCTTCAAGAGGGAGGGTTAGAGTTGCATTTGTGTTTTAAATACACACATACACTTGTACACACACACATACACACACACACTCCTCAATATAAAAAGAAGAAAGTGAAATTCCTGCCAACATGCCATTTGGCCCTAGAATTAAAATGAGGAGGATACTCTTCCCATCTTCCTACTCATTGATGTAACAGAGTGATGATGATGATAACAATAATGGTAGCTAACCTGTACCTCCTAGGGTTGTTATAAACCTTAAAGTGCTATATAAAGCTGTTATTATCCCTGTTTTACAGATGAAGAAACTGGGGTTAAGAGGTTATGACTTGCCCAGAGTTACACTGCTAGTACACATCTGAGGCAAGATTTGAACTCAGATTTTCTGACTCCTAGTCCATACACAAAACCTACCCATCTGGCTTGTTTTCACTGATATTTCTAGTGATATTCTTCAGACTGTGAAAGTGCCTTCTAAACCATCATATGTTAACATATGCTGAGGATATTTTAGCCATGAGTGTATTTTTATTGTAACTCTTTGAAAGTTTTGATGGCAAGTCTTCATGCAGCAGTAAATTCCATTGACCAGGGCTATCCCTTTCCTTAGTTTTGCTGAATTTAGAGTTTATAGTTAGTACATGCACATTGGAGGAAGATTTGTTGTGACTCAGTCATTTCAGTCACGTCCTACTCTTTGTGACACCATTAGGGTTTTCTTGGCAAAGATATTAAAGTGGCTTGCCATTTCCTTCTCTAGCTCATTTTACAGATGAGGAAACGGAGGCAAACAGGGTTAAGTGACTTGCCCAGGGTCACACATCTAGTAAGTGTCTGAGGCTAGATTTGAACTCAGGAAAATGAGTCTTCTTGATTCCAAGCCCAGTTCTTTGAAAGATGCATGCTCCAAAAAAAATACTCTAGAAACGGATGTAGGCCCACATAGGTAAAATCTATATAGGTAGATCCAAATGTACAGCATTGTTTAGGGAGTCAAAAGGCAGAAATTACAAGTTTTTGTTTCTTAAGGAGTCAAAATATGTTTAAGAAAATAAGGCCTTAAGAGTATGCATCTTTCCATCTATTAAAACTCTATGTTCAACTTTAAAATTGGACTCTGTAGTGGTTTGACTAGAGGCTACTAGACTTGAAGAGTTAGTGAAAATGTGCAATTCTCTTTATAACAGTTCTGCCTTTGCATTAGAAAGTTAACTACTCACCACACATCCTTGAGCCACAGAGTAAAGTAAAATTACGATGAAAACACATAAAACAGTACGAATTTGAATTGTCAGGCACCCTGGAAAACACTAAAGAAACAAAAGCATTATCACTCTTGACAAGCATTATTTTAGTCACATTTTAAAATATATTAAAAATACACAGAAGGAAACCAGCATTTCACATCTTTCTACCTCATCTCCTCCATTATGTAACTTCCAACTTGTTGAGTTTTATTCTTCTATCCCCTGTTTCCAAGGACATACTTTTGAAAACAACAGCATAGTACCTTGGAAAGAACAACCATGGAGACAAAGAAGCAGCATTCAAATCCTAGGCCATCCATGTTCTACCTGTGTGCCTTGGGGAATATGTTTCATTGATATTTTTTGTCTTTACATTTTGCCTTTATCATTCCTCCCTGTACCTCCATTCCCTCTTTCTTGTGACAAGAAAACAATTAAGCAAATACATTTGTTACAAAAAAGAATTTGTTAGATAATATCTGCAATACCCTGTATTAGTAGTCCCCTGCCTTTCTTCTGTGAGCAATACTCTTCTCCAGGATATTTAACATTTGCCTTTCAAACTCAAAACTCAACTTCCTTTTGGTGATCTTTTTATTTATACTGTTGTTATTATGCATATTGTTCTCTTGGTTCTGCTTATTTTCCTTTGCATCAGATCACATACATCTTCTAATGATTCCCTATCATTTCTTAAGCAATTATTAGTTCATTATATTATAACCAGGAGCTCAAAGTCTATTTACATAGGTCTCTCCTCATTGGTGGAGGCTGATTACTCAATGATGTGCAACTGTGTGAGGGACAGAGTTGGCAAGTTGGTTTCTGACTTCTAGTTTAGAGAGAAAAGAAACATGGTACTAGGTTGTCTTCAGGGAGAAGTCTCTGAGGGGAGAAAAAAAACTCTGGGAAGAAGCCAACATCTGTAGAAGCTGGCACTTTGATCATGTCTCTGTCACCGGTTGGGAGCAAATGAATTTACCCAACGTAGAGGTATGGTTATGAAGTCTGGCAGCCAGGAACAAGGCTAGGAAGGGAATGAAGGCCATGTTGGTCTCCTGCATAAAATGGTGGCCCCAAGAAGAACACCACAATGGGAGAAAGAGATGGGCCTTACAGAGGAATATTCCAGGTTGGAAGGCACAGGAAGGGTTGTATGGTCTAGACTGCTGAAGGAAGCTCCAGGTTGATACAGAGGCAGAAGCGTGTTTGTTTTGTTTTGTTTTACCCATTCATTCCTTATGTGCTACAGCTTTATACACAATTCTTCATTCCCATAAAAAGTGCTGCTATGAATATTTTGTTAGATTGTTGTTCAGTCATTCAGTCATGTCTGACTCTTCATGACCCTGTAGACCACAGCATGCCAGGCAAATACTGTCCATGGGGTTTTCTTGGCAAAGATACTGGAATAGTTTGCCATTTCCTACTCCAGTGGTTCACTTTTTGTTATGTTGGTCCTTTATTTCTGTCTTTGATTTCCTTGGCCAACTCTATCATTTTACCAATGAGGAAACTTAGTTTAAGAAAAGTTGTGTGACTTGGCCATATCATATAGATAGGAAGCATCAGAGGCGAGACTCAACCCAATTTCTCCATCTCTAAATGTAACATTTTTTTTTCACTACAAGGCAGGGCGTTTTGATGCAGAAATCAAAAGTTGCTTTTATCCCCTATCTAGGGCAAGGAAAAACAGATCCCAATCAGCAGTAGAAGCTTTAGAATTCTTAACCAGACATCTTGTAGACTTGTTTTTTAAAGCATCTTTTAAAAATTGTATTTCAGTATAATTGGCTTCCTTTATAATCCTATTTTATATTATACACTCTGAAATAATGTTTTGAGAAGAGGTCCATAGGCTTCACCAGACTGCCAAATCTCTCTCTCTCTCTCTCTCTCTCTCTCTCTCTCTCTCTCTCTCTCTCTCTCTCTCTCTCTCTCTCTCTCTCTCTCTCACACACACACACACACACACACACACACACACACACACACACACACACACACACATATGCACAGGGTTTAAGAACATTTGCTTTACATAAAAAAATCCAAGGATGAATACTGAGGAGAAAGGAACTAGAGTAACACAAATTATCAAATGCTGATATTTTTTAATATATGTGCCTACTCAACTAAAACTTTCTGCTTCTTATATGTGTCTTTCAACCTTCTGCTTTTTATATTTGCCTTTCAACCTACAGAAACTAGAGTTTAGAACTGAGGGGAGAAAAATTCTCATCTTTTGGACTCTACTTGAAAAATAACCCAGAAGCACATTTAGAATATTATTTTTGCTCCTGTATTTTAAAATTCAATTGCTTTTTTTCCCTCTTGGTGAAAATTAATGATTCTTTTGGGGGAGTCATGGGGAGGGACATACTGAGAAACACAAATGATATAAAAACAAAAGATATGAATTTTTAAAACATTAAAATTACTTTAGTTAATGCTTTCAAATTGTCCCTTTTTTGTTTTTGATCAAGCCCCAGTTCTTTACATTTCAAATAAAACATTAGTAATTTTCTTTTAAAGTGAATACTAATCATTTCTCAGGAATTTCTGAAGCTTCGTCTTTTGTAAAATCACGTAAGATGGTTGTGCTTTCCTCTTAAGTTTGTTCTGCATAGCTAAAGCCATCAGAGGCCAGTTTGACTTTTTATCTTTATGAGGCCTACTTTGAAGTATATTGACTCTGGGGCCAACAGCCTGGTTATCAGGCTACAGATCTTGTTGGTAAAGAGTTGTATTTCTAAAAATACTCATTTGAAAGATCCATTTATATAGTTGAGCATGACAGAAAGAGAATCTTAGAAGAAAGAATGATGCCTCTATAACATCAATTATTAAGAACCTATTATACAGTACATGGCCCAAAGGGCTAAACTCAGTGACAGGTCTTGAAATAATCTAGTTTGGCTGAAACATGGCAGATGCATACAGAAACAATGACACATTTGGTTATAGTTCAAAAGACATTGGAGAGCCAATACAAGTTTTGGATGAAGTGATATTATCAGAGCTGTGATTTAGCAAGATTAATGGGATATCTATATGTTGTATGGACTGGAAGGAGGAAAGATTAGAGCTAGGAAGATCGGTTAGAAGGCTATTATAACAATTTAGGAGAGAGATACTGGAGATCTGAAATAGGGAAATGACAACAGGAATGGAAAAGAGGAAGAGATGCTGCTATGAGAATCAAGAACTATTGAGGAGGGAGAATCTGTAGGATTTGGTGACTGAATAGAATTGAAGCAAAGGACAGGAAGAGTTAAAAAAAATTATGGATTTTCAGAGCTGGGATGACTGAAGTAAAGTTGGTAAGCCTAACAGAAATAGGCTATTCAGGAAGAATATCTGCTTTTGGGGAAAAGATGAATTCACTTTGGGACATACTGAGTTTGAGGCACAATGCTGTCCTCAAGGGGAGAAGACAAATAGACAGGTGTAAACGCTGGCCTAGAGCTTGGGAGAGATGAAGGCAGGCTTTTTGACACAATCCTGATGGACCTTTTACCAAGATCTTGTTAATAGTCTGAGGGAAACTGGGTACATAGGGAGGTATATCATTGAAGCCCAAGTGTGGTTTAGTTGATGAATAAAATCTCCATATACAGTTTTATAAATTTTTAACCTCTTAGTTACCCCATATAATCCCTTTTGAGAAATCCCAACCTTGTTTTAGAACTAAGGAGATAGGGGCCAGCTAGGTGGTGCAGTGGATAGAGTGTTGGGCCTGAAGTTAAGAAGACTCATCTTTGTGAGTTCAAATCAAGCCTCAGACACTTATTAGCTGTGTGACCCTGGGCAAGTCACTTAACCCTGTTTGCCTCAGTTTTTTTATCTGTAAAATGAGCTGGAGAAGGAAATGGCAAACCACTCCACTGTCTTTGCCAAGAAAATCCAAAATGGGGTCACAAAGAGTCTGGTATAACTGAAAAATTACTGCACAAGGTCAGGAGTAAGTGTTGATATCTTCTCCCTCACAATGACTTTGTATCCACAATTGGGATAATATGGTATTGACAAACTCCCTTGACATGTGATGAGAGAGGATATTTTGTATTTCTTGTTTGTAAAGACAGGAACTTAGCAAATGCTTCATGAATAATTTATGATTCATTGATCAACATATTCCCCTAGAATATACTGGGCCACAGAGTAATTAAGAGTTTTTTTCTTCTTAAAAACTATATTTTCAGCAAAAATCTTCAACAAATGCTTTTTATAGTTTTAATGCTTATGCCTTCTAAAAAAATTCCTAGGCTAAGAAACAACATGAAAATGGAACTAGCTATCTTTGTTCTCAAGTAACAGGCAAGCTAGGCAATGCAGGAGTCTGGATCATTAGACTTGGAGTCATGTAGACCTGAGTTGAAATTCTGCCTCAGATATTTATTAGCTGTGTGACCCAGAGTAGTTTCCCCCTCTGTGAAATGGGATCATCATAGTACTTATTTTACAATGTTACCGTGAAAATCAAATGAAACAATATATGAAAAGTGCTTTGAAACTTTTAAAGGGCTTTATAAGTGCTTATCATCATCATTATTATTATTACTAAAGTTCATAGGGTTTAAAAGAGGAAGCGCCCTTAGAGGCAGTCTGGTTCAGACTTTTTTTTTTTCAACGATTGAGGCAACTAAGACCCAAGAAAGATAAGTGATTTCTTGCTCCAATTCACAGTAAGTAGCAGAGCTGAAATCTGAACCCAGAGGCTTTGATCATGTAGATCACTCTTTTCACTATCCCATGAAATATAATATGAGTTTGTTATTGTTATTTTTAATGGCTGATTGCCTATTTGGATCTGTAATACTAAGACATTCTTCATTATAAAAGGAAGCAAAGGATGCTGCTGTGGAGAAAAGGGACAGCTTTCTCTAGTATGTACAAAAGGAAAATCCCCCAGGAACATGACCCACAATTACCTAAACATCTACACAGTAGGTTGCTGGGAACATGCTTCTAAGCATATTCTCAACAAAGACAGAAATGACACTACCACTGTTCTTAAAAGTTTCTGAAATAATGGCATGTCAGCATCTCAGAACTGGAAA